TATAAGTACCCTGCCCAAGGGTCACACATTCACTTATTATCATCGATTTGAACAACAGTCATGCAGCACGATCCAAAGCAGACCTGCTCATGAGGCTCACCTGCAACAAGGGTCAACAAACCCTGAGTACAAAAGTACTCAGCAAGACTTAACCGAAGTAAAACTGAGAAGACTCAGGAATGCAGGCTCAGGGATTCAAGGTATGGCTTTAGCAATAATCAAAGTTCTTTTGCGTAAAAGCTCTCTAACAAGATTCTTTATTTCAACATTTTTATCTTCAAAAAGATCATATATAAAGCTGACATGATCCGTATTGAGATCATAAAACTTCATATCCAACTCGTTCTCAAACCTTACTCAAGTTCCATTTGTTAACTACGATGATGAACAGTGAGTTGAGTCTCCAAAATCAAGGAGCAACGACGATTCGAACCGATATAATCCAGCTGGGGATTCCCAACCACACGACATATGCAGGTCCCTGACCTACATAGATCAACCTGCCCTCAGATCCTCTAAAACAAGAACGGGTCCGCGCCACCCGAGAATACAGTACTCCACCAATCCAGCCCAATGCCACGTGGGTACACGCTATTCTCGTCATCTCTCCACTCCTAGTGCGCGAGTAGCCATTCTCATAATAGAATAGCCAAGTTAAGGCTTACCGGAGTATGTGGCTAGTACTACAAGGTCTCACCTCATGCAATTCAACAACGGACGGTTCTTAATCGACACACGTGGAAAGAACCCGCTCACAAGACTTCCATGTCTTGTGGCTCTCACACACCGAGTCCGCCCGGTCTAGATTTATTACTCCACAAGCTTATATCTCATCATAACATAAATAACTGACCGTATCCAAAATCCATTTATATCTCGCAGGTGACAGGTAATCACCCGACTTTTATCGGTCTAAGCATGGCTAAGCATAATTAGGCATTCTCGATTTTAAAACTGGTAACAAGGTTGATATGGAAGAACAAGGTTGGTAATGCACCAATTAGGTTTTTCACTCAACTCCTAATCACATAATGCAGTACTCGAAAGCAAAAGCAATATAAATTTATAAAATATAAGGTAGGTTTAAATGCATCCGGGGCTTGCCTTGATTAACGGAAAAGTCAGGTTCCGGAGACGTTCCATAAATATCAAACCCGGCCTCAATAGACGGATTAACTTCCTCAACAACTTGATTGACTACCATGTTTTTCTTTCGCTTTCGCTCACTACACGTAGTAACAATGCCATGTTTAATATAATGCGAGATATAAAACATGATGCTTGATGATGGATACAAAAATTAATAACTTGAATACAACTTTCCTTCACGGTACAGTTACAAGCCAAAACTAACTAAACCTTTTTCATAAACTTAAACACTAATTTTAAGTGCCAAGGATCATCTTATGCTAATGACCCAAGGTCATCACTCAATCCAAAATTCAAACAAAACCTAAATCATTAAGGTTTACTATTTGCTTTTATGAATTAATTATTTAATTAAAAATTATGAAATAGATCAACTTTCCCCAATTGAGCTCAAAATTTTGTAAAGGTTCATTACATGATAACTAAGTGGCAAAACAATTTTCATAATTTTTTTGATAATTATTTAAGCCTAGAAAAATCAGGGAAACTCATTTATTAATTAATTGAGCAATTTTTATCACATTCAAAAAGTACTGAAAAGCAACATTTAATATTTTTCCTAAATAGTTTACATCTCAGAGAGGTCACACAAAAATTTTCATAATTTTTGGAGCTCTATTTAATTCTATACAAAAATAACAAAAACTTATACTATTCATTCATTTCTGAAAAAGAAAAATTCCATTTTCAAACAACCGGTCACTGACAGAGTGACCCCACTCGTCAGCACAGTACTCCCGCGCGCAGCAGCGACGACCGCGCTTTGACCGGCGATTTTCTCATTGCCGATGAGATCAACGGCGACGGCGAGGGTACCAACGTGATCACCACGACGAGGCGCACCTATTGATGGCACTAATTGCACTAATTACAGCTCAAACCGAGCTCGACGCCGGCCATGGCGGACACGGCGGTGCGGCAACGATACACCGGCGAAGGGAGGCCGGTAGCGGTTAAATAAAAGGCCCAAGAAGCATCAGGAGCTCACCCTAAACACGCTCGAGAAGAAAGATGGACTGGAGGAGCAATGGAGAAGCTCATCTTCGGTCACAACAAACACGGCGGCGAAGCAGACGTCGACGGCGGTGTTCCGGTGACTGCGGTGGATGAAATGATTAAGCAACAAGGCACAAAGCATCACGGCAACATGGAGAAGATGGAGCAACACTTCACAAGGGCAGAGGCTAACCGTAGAGCTACGACCATGGTGAAGCGGGATCACCGGTGACGCTGCCGGCCGCGAGGAAGAAAAGCAACGAGCGACGTTTCCTGGCGAAGTCAAGCTACAAGGGTGGTTCGGCTAGGTTCGCAAAGAATAAGCAGAGCTGTGACAGGCTTTGCCGAGGCTGGTATGCGCTATGGCGACGGTGCGAGCTCGACGGAGCAGCACGATGGCGATGGGAAAAGCAGAGGAAGAAAGCGGAGGAGAACGGCGACATTGGAGGCTTTAAAATGTGGCCAGGAAGGACGAAGAAGCCACGCAGCAGCCTTCTCCTCGCCAGCGCGAAAGCCAAGATGGCCACGAGCGCGCCTGGAAACCAGAAGAAGGTCGCCGGCGGTGAGGTGTCGCCCGCGGGTACTGTTCACCGAAATTACAGAATTGCCACTCGCTTAGAACCTCAATTTACTCCCAAATTTATGTGGCAACTCAAAAATCTCCAAAAACAAAAGTTGTTCCAAATTCAAAGTTCTACAACTTTTCTTTAATAACCATACTCTAATTCGGTCTACATTTTGAAATGCAAGTTTAAAATCAAAAGGGGACACTTTAAGTACATAACGCCTTTTCAAATTACTTCAAATTTTATATAACAACTTTGAAAACTCCAAAAACCAACTTTGTACACCTTGACAAGCTCTACACTTTTGCTTTTAAGCTCAACCCCAAAATGTGCTTAGATTTTGAAATGGGGTTTTCCAAGGTAAAATTAAATGCTGAAATTAGGGTTTTCGGAAATCCAATCCAATACAAAAGTTTTGAACTTGATTCAAACCATACAAGTCAACACATTTAGCATAAAGGTAAACTTGTTTTAGTGTATGCATATCAAAATTTTCACTAACACAAAATGATGTGCAATGCATATGATGACATGGCAGGTTTTAGTATTTAAAACACCCGAGGTGTTACAATGAATTTGTTACTTGTTGATTTATTCACTCAAAATTGAAGGGTTTGAAGATTGGGCATTTAGCATCAAGAAGCTTGATCAATTTGTTTTATGGGTCAATTGTCGCTGAGGTGGAGAATTGTGATAGTTGCAACTCCATTTGTAGTATATTTAGGGTGCTCATTTGTAATATCTTGCAACCTCAAGGAATCTTTAGAAAAACACCCAAACCAACCCAAAGGGGTAGCCCTGCCTTTTCCCCTAGTGAGTGAGCTCATTTATTCTTGAGAGAGAGAGAGAGAGAGAGAGAGCTAGGGTTAGAAGATTGAGAGAGAGAGAGAGCTTCAATCCACCAATTCCACCACTGAAAGAGAGATTTTGCGGAGGATTTAGAGCCTCTCATTTGTTGGCTCCCACCTCAGTTTATTGTTTCATCTCATAATGGATTTGTCTCGTCGTCACCGTGGTTTTTCCTCGCAAGGGGTTTCCACGTAAATCTTGATGTCCTCTCTTGATTCGGTATTTCTCTTGCCATATGTGTTGATAAGCCACCACTTGCTTGTTGTTGTTTCGTATGTGAAGTGGTTGCTTGTATGGATGAGTTGGCATGGAAGACATATGTGTGTTCTTTGATGTATTGAGTATGTGATGTTGGGGCTGATGTATTAGTGAGCTAATCAATGCAAGTATATTGTTGTTGAAAGATGGGACAACTTGTGGCTTGATGAATTCAAGTTTAGGTGCTGTTTCAATTCATACACACAAGGTATTTCTTATATGCTTTTGTGAAATTAGTTTGCTAACGTTGATTATTACGCTGCCCCTCTGTTATCACAATTGAGATGGATATAAGTATAGCTAAATAATTAAGGCCTACCAGATCGACAAACGCAAAATAAAATGGGCAAGACGAATACTGCAAGCTAGCGTTCACTGTCCTCTTTTATATGTCCTATATTAACGTAGTCACAAAAAAAAATGTCCTATATTAACGTACATACGTATATAGAGGCAGGGGGCGCTCCTACTGTAGCATCAGATGCCACGGGTCGGTGGCTGGTTCAAGGCGACTTTGGAAGTTGGAATAAAAAGAAAATTAGCCTGATATACTATGAGGCCCATCGAAGATTCCAGAGGTGCACGAAGGGGGCGCCCGCCGGCAGTCCCGGAGAGGGGGCAAAGCTCTCTCGGGATGCACTCTACCCTGCTTTGTCATCATACATATAGTCTAGCAGACGCTCCCTCCAAGGTGTTCATTTGACGTTTGACCTCACTGTTTGGCCGCACTAGCTAATTTCTCTTTTTGTTGCAGCGCTAGAAAAGATTATTTACCCTCCTTCACTGAGAAGAACGAAGCACTAAACATTTCTCCTTTGAAAATCCTGATATATAATAGTATAAAGTAGGGGTGTATATGCATGGAACGTTTATTTTTATACCGGCCACGTACAAAAGAATCAGCGTACAGACACGAAAAAAATGATCCTTGTACTACTCCAGTAAATTGAATCTTTACTCAAATTAACTACGGTAAAACCATATGCTATCACTGATGTCAATGCTCCCTCAGTCATCGATCCATTGGTCGCCGGCCGCGTATATATGTTTTCTCTTTTTTTTTTTCTTTCTCTGTTTCTCGCAGCAGCTGCTCGACGTCTAGCTAGCTAGCTAGCTGCTGGTAATAATTAACCTAGTTTTGTGTATCAATCAATTAATTGCCACATCGATCTATCCACATCATCAGTTGGTCCTCCGGCAGTTTTTCCTGATCTCGCCGGCGGTGCCGGTCAGGACGTCGAGCGCGGCGAGCTTGTTGAGCGCCTGACTGAACATGGAGGGGAAGGAGTCGGTGGTGGCGAGGAAGTTCACCATCCACGCGGTGGCGTTGTGGTCGCCGAGAGCCTGGTCCACGGACAGCACTCCGTGGCGCTTCATGATTTGGCAGTAGTAGCTCTTGTCGACGAGGAGGATGCTGGATGGGTCGTCGAGGTAGACGATGTTGTCGTAGGCCTGGTCCTTAGGGCACGCGAACGTCGTCAGGATCCACACGTACATCGGGTCCATGGCCGGGTCCGGCAAGCCGGTGCCATTGTAGTTGAACAGCCGGTTGTGGATCACAGAGCAGTGTGTCACCCCAACAGTGTGCGCGCCTGGAACGGCAAAACAATGCATGAGATGTACACACGAAACACATACAACGCACTTGCATTATAGTATTGTATTGATGCCTAGTAGTTTGTGTGTTGGGCATGAGCTTTGATTCTTAGGGCCTGTTTTGGACACCTCCCCTAGCTCTAGATTCAGCAAAAATAGCTCTAATCCATAAAAAGTTTGCCAAATGATCTAACTCCACCAAATTCAGATCCACCAAAACAGTGGATTTGAAGGCCAGATTCGCCAAACGGTGGAGCTACTCAAGGGGTGCTCCACCAAACTCAAACAGGTTTGAGTTACAAAGGTCTCGAACTCTTTGGTAACTCATTTAATTGTTACATGTGTGCTCTAAGTCCGAGACCTTGATCAGAAGAACTTATATTCAGCATTTACATATGATTCCTAACGGTTTGATGAGGAGCTTGGTAGTGATGATCATGCATGGGGGTACATATTGAAAGGGGGAAATAACGTAATAAATATGATATATCTGTACCAAGATCACAAATTAACAATATAGTAGTACTTAGTACTCCCTCCGGTTCTCTAAAGCAAGTCGTTTTGAGGTTGTCTTAAGTCAAACATTTTAAACTTTGACTACAAATAACTTCTTTTGTGTTGAGTTTGAAAATATGAAAGTGATGTAAGTAGATTCATCTCGAAATATAGTTTCATAAAAGTATATATTGACTATATTTTATAAATATTTTATAGCAAAAAGTTACAGTCAAAGTCGTTTCTTAAAGACCGTGTCGATGTCCAAAACGACTTGCTTTAGAGAACCGAAGGAAGTACAGTATAACCCTAGACCAACTGCAAACTATAGCTCAGCAATAAATTAACGCATATCTAAATATCCTAACTGTTTATTTTATGTGCCAACACAACACTGGTGTACCGTGTACGTGATATTCCATGTGTTGAGCTGCGCTTGATATCTGCACATTGAATCGATACACTTAGCTGTGTTCTAGATCAAAAGAAGCTAATTTATTTAGTAAAACCAGTCTGCTTCATGTTACCGAAGAGAGGACATGCATGCACGTGGGTCATGGTAAAACTTTCAACACAAGTTGTACTGGCCACCAGTAATTACGTATTGATCTTTCGCTAACTTTTTATGTCGTTTTCTGCACTAAAATAGAAATGCAATATCGTAGCATATATAGGCGGTGAGGACGTACCCATTAGGCTGACCATCTCGAGGGCGTTGATGCCCTTCCGTCCGAATAGATCGATAGCGGTGGGGACGTCGACATTGGGGCCCGGCAGAATGCTCGCCATTGACGCTTGTGACACCATGCCGTCTCTTCTGCCCAGTTGCACTTGGTAGCTCGGCCCTCCGCACTGGACTTGCATTGCATTGTTGTGCACGCAGATTAATACACGTTAATACTTTGTTCAGATGCAAATAAAAATCATCACTTTGTAAATAGTAATTAGTAGTAATTAAAGCAACAAAAGGATTAACAATGTGAATAATTACAAATTGAAGTCATTGTCTGCTCTTAGCAAAAACAAAAGATAAATCATCATATATATGCCAAAGGAGCAAATGAAATCAATCATCGTCATTCAGTTCAACATTGCGATTCCACAAAAAGAAAATCAATCGGCATTGTTGCTTTGTTCGCAGCTCGATTGTAGCATACAATGGGGCCGGGTGACTCACCACGCCAACGGCGTCCCTTGTTGCGGCGATGATGATGTCAGCACAGGAGACGACGCCGGGGCATACTCTCTCGAGCGCCGTCTTGACGTCGTCGATGAAGTCGTAGCCGAAGATGCCACTGTTCTCCGGCGCCGTCTTCTCCGTATTGGGCCCGTCCAGCAGGATCGACGCGTCGCACCCCTTCATTTCATATATTCAACAACAAATAAATCAATAATAATGAAATTGATGGATCGATCGATAGATGATACGAGATATTGAAGAAAGCTAGCTAGCTAGCTAGCAGGCATGGTGGTGTTTGCGTACGGCGACGAAGCAGTCGTGGAACTGCAGGTGGAGGAGGCCGGCGACCATCCTCTTATCCCACGCGAGGCGGGCCTTGACGGCGTCGTGGATGATGGCCTCCACGCTGAAGTTGCCGCACTTGCCGGCGTAGTAGTTGTTGGCCAGCTGACCGCGGCAGCTCACGGCTGAATAAGCCAGCACGACGAGGAAGGCGGCGAGCAGCGCGGAGGAGCAAGCCGGCTGCATCGTCTCCGGTCGACCGATCGGTGGTGGTGGCTATAATACTGCTGCTGCTGCTGCTGCTGCTACTCTGCTGGAGTACTTCGTGACTGTACTGGTGGAAAGAGAAGTTTATTGTTGACCAGCACAGCACAGTGCATGTGCAGCCGCAGCCTAGCTATAATAACACACCGCTTGTTCGAGCAGCAGGGAGATTACTGCTGCTGCTGCTGGTGTGGTGGTGGTGGTGGGCGACTCTCTCCTCCCCTTCCGAATTCCGATCTCCTCTGCATCTCTGTGAGGTGAGGTGAAGCTGATGGGGTTTCAAGAAGCCGCACACGGAATATAATGGTGGTCTCAAGAAGCCGCACACGGAATATGTAGCATAGGGTCTTATTTAGATAGCGGTTAGGAATCAGTATTTCGTACTATAGTATTTTTATTTGTATTTGATAATTATTGTCTAATCATGATTTAACTAGGCTCAAAAAATTTGTCTCGTAATTTATAATTAAACTGTGTAATTAGTTATTTTTTTATCTACATTTAATACTCCATACATATATCTAAAGATTTGATATGATAGAGAGAGTGAAAAAACTTAGGCCCCGTTTAGTTCCATCCAAAAATATCACATCGAATACGGCACAAAAGAGAGTAAATGTGAGACGAAAAAAAAAACTTAGGTTAGGTGAGAAAGGCCGAAAGAACCTAATTAATCTATAACTAGATACTAATTCTCTAAAAGTAAAAGAAGACCTGACCTGACTAAAACACGCCCTAACAAGAAGCTGTCTCTAGTTCAGAAGACCTGACCTGACAGAGAAGATGCGTGCTAGCCTAGATATCGCGCGACCAGTGGGCAGAGCACGCAGTCGCCAGCCAGAGGGATTGCGCGGAGAGTCGTGCTGCGTCGTTCGGAGCCTGTGCGGCTGGCACTGCACGTAGGGCTCTGTGCGCTTGCGCTTGAGTAGCCGTGCCACCACACGTGCCTGCAGGCTGGTGGATCGGATGCAGGTGCTCTCAGGCAGCTCACCATCACCAGGCTGGTAGAGGGCTACGACTCCTCTGAAAATGGTTTCGGTTCTGGCTTCTTTGAAGGAGCAGCTCCTCTAGATGAGTTGAAGCCGTTTTGAAAAATGTTTGACAAAACAGCTCCTTCGTATTAGACGACGTGAACCTATAGCAAGAAGCCACGCGAAGCTCGTTTTTTAGGCTTTTCCTGCGCAGACAAAAAATAGCTCCGGCTCTTGACCGGCTCCCCATGCGGAGCCCTTTCCAAAACAGGCGTTTGGCACAGCTCTTACAGGAGCCGGAGCTGAAGCCCCTGCAGGAGCCCTGCCAAAGAGGCTCTTAGAATATCTATACATCTACATTGCCCTAACACAAGGCCTATTTGGATCTCGATCAACTAATGCTACTAATCGGCCAATCCTTGCTGAGCAAATTAAGTCACATCTTCACTACCGGATACAGGATATTTGCCGAGTGCCAGGGGCACTCGGCGAAGTCCAAAAACACTCGGCAAACGACACTCAACAAACTTGTTAACGGCAAACGCTAGTTTGCCGAGTGTTTTCTGTTGGGCACGAGTGCAAAAAAAACACTTGGCAAACTTTTTTTTCAAAAAAAATAAAAAGAAAAGCACGCTGGGGAAGAAGGGAGGGCCCCACCACGCCAGGGAAGAAGGGAGGGCCCCACCACGCCGCACCACCACTGCGCCACCAGCAAAGCTGCCTCCTCGAGCCGCTCGACACAGCGACGTCGTCATCCGTGACCATCGCGGGCTCCTACTCCGCCACGCCGCTGAGCTGCGACGCCCTTGCCGTGGCCACCTCTGCTCGCCGTCACCAGGAAGCCGCGGTGTCGAGCCTCCACCGCCGTGCCATCCACCTCGACGAGCCTTGCCCAAGCCCATCCTCGCCAGCGTCGCGCGTCGCCCGTTCCTTCCTCGTGGAGCTGCGAACGCCGACGAGCACGCCACCAGATCCGCCGCTCCTCCCTCCACCACCACCACCACGCCCGTCACCGCCGGATCTGGAGAGGGAGGGCCGGGAGGGGGGCGGCGCCGCCGGATCCGGGAGAGAGAGGGCGGGCCACGGCGCAGAATGGGGGAGGAGAGAGGCGGGCAGCGCCAAGCGAGGAGGAGGAGGGGAGGGCGGCAGGGAGGGAGGAGGGGCGGGCCGCTCCGGTGAGGAGGAGGAGAGGCGGGCAGGGCGTCGGGCGCCGAGAGGAGAGGGAGGAGGGGAAGGGCATGGCTGGCGCCGAGAGGAGGAGGGGGTGGCGCTTGGCGTGTGAAGGAGAAGGGAGGGCGGACGTGGCGCGGGAGAAGTGGAGGGGGGCGCGCGGGGAGAAGGGTAGGGCTGGTTAAAAAAGATTTTTTTTCCTTTGCCGAGTCTCCTAGATCTGGACACTCGGCAAAGTTTTTTTTTCATTTTTTTTCTTCTCTTTTTTCAAAAAAAAAATATTTTTCCCTTTGCCGAGTGTCATCTGGGCACTCGGCAAAGTTTTTTTTCATTTTTTTCTTCTCCTTCTTTTCAAGAAAAAATATTTTTTTCCTTTGCCGAGTGTCCTAGATCTGGACACTTGGCAAAGTTTTTTTTATTTTTTTTCTTCTCCTTCTTTCCCGAAAAAAAGATTTTACTTCTTTGCCGAGTGTCAAAAAAACACTCGACAAACCTCATCTTTACCAAGTGTTTTTTTTACACTCGGCAAACCTTCTCTTTACCGAGTGTTTTTTTTTGCCGAGTGTTTTTAGCGCAGCACTCGGCAAAGAACTTGTTTGTCGAGTGCCCGAGAGAATACACTAAGCAAACATAAAAACACTCGGCAAATTTGACGTTTCCGGTAGTGCTTGTGAGACATATAAAGTATAGAAGTTCATGGATAAACTCATAATGCATATATAGCCCATCAATGTTTCATGTCACTGATCGATTATACTCTGTAACATTCATTCAATTGTAATAAATGTTACTCTCTCCATTCCAAATTATAAGATGTTGTCTAAGTGCATAGCAAAAGTTATGTATTAGAAAAGTCAAAACGACACTTATAATTTAGAACGGAGGGAGTAGTTACCAATTACTCTATATGCCTTTCTAACAATGATCAGAGAGAAGGTAGAAAATAGGCTCCAAAAGAAACATGAGTCTTGGAAAGACCGGTTCTCTTGAAATATGACCAAAACATTTCTCATTAAATCTTGTATGATCATGTTATCCTCCTTTGAGATACTTTAAGGTGTATTCAAAAAGTTGAATTATTATATATCCAAAATTTCTGGAGAGGATGATCCTAAGAAAGAGTACATAACATATTCCATATATAGGAAACATGGTACCGGACTACCGGAGCACTTTTGTATAGTATAAAGAATAATTTTCATCTAATTGTGTTCTACTGGTTTATTGATGCCCCCACCCCCACCCCAAAAAAAAACACAGAGACATTGACCAAATTTCTTCATTTCACCTGTGGTCTTTCCCCAGATGTACTTTCCACTCACCTCATTGGAGACTAACTCAATATGAATATGTATGCATAATGCACAAATGCCCTAATCATTTGACCCATGTACGCTCATAAATATAAGATCCGCGAATGAAGGAACAAATGAATTGATTGGTCATGTACATGCTATATATATCTAGCTAATACCTGCTGTGCATAGCATATGCATTATATTCCCATCAACATCAACGTAGCCAGATCAGTAAATTAAAAAAACACATGCAACTATATATGTATGCAAGTGCTAATGCATATATGATCAAGCACTCCAGCAAAGGTAGATCTTATACTGCTAATGCGTATGCATTCTCTCCTTTGATTACTGAGTTTTTTTTTGAGTTAATCAGCTAGCGAGAGGCACTTAAAAAATCAGTGGAGTCAATCGTTTACATGTGGATACCACATTCATCAAGTAGAGAGAGAGAGAGAGAGAGAGAGAGAGAGAGAGAGAGAGAGAGAGAGTGTCTCTCACACAGATCATCGTAGTAAACATGAAACACGTGATGATCAAGTGGCTCGGGTGGTTGGGCATGTGCTTTGGATCCGAGACACGGACCGCCCTTCCGATGCGCAGGCGCATACAATATATGCAGCTCCCAAAGAGGGAGAGGTCTGAGGTATCTCACTCTACGTCTGTTGTTGATTTGTGGGTAACTTGTGACTTTGTGAGTCTTCTCACCGTATTTGACCTGCAGGAGTCGTTCAAGGTTATTAATTAGGGTCACCACCTTTACCTAATTTCCTCCTCCAAGGATAGAATCTGAATCATGCATGGCGCTGCTAGCTGTACCAGTGTAAAGCGTGTAGTTTTCTGACTTCTCAATCTTTCAGAACGCTTTATGATTCTTTAAACAGAAAGTTGCAGAGAGATTGGTACGGTGCTTCCTGCAGGGCCTTCAGCAACTTCCATTTTATGGCCAACCGACACACAGCAGCTGGTGGCAGTGCCAGTAGTATATGATGAGCTGAAGTATGTGTGCGCTCGATCTTGCGGCGAGACTGAATTCATCAGAGTGTCTTCATACTCCTCAAATGCATGCATTGACCGCGTGCATGCATGTTGTTGGCCCAATTCGATCTTAGATTCAGATCTGGAACTACCAGAGGATATCTTGGTCCTTGATCGCTTGGATTGAATGGAAATGTAATGACCTATTTTTATAATGACACTCTCTTGCCCTTTATAGGTAAAAGGACTCCCACTTGCTACAGCATATTTCAATCACTAAAGTGGATGCTGGTCATATTTCTAACACTAGGCTTGGAAGCCAATAAAAGTAAAAAGTGCAGAAAAAGTAAGATACAAGTACTTTAGCACTAGGCTTATCTATCAATTTTTTCCTAAGCTTTGTGCCGAGCACCGGAGGCGATCTGCTGTAGCCCAATCCTCTCCTTCATCTCCTGGAACTTGGACTTCCCCAGCAACTTGGTGAGAATTTCAGCCAGCTGATCAGTAGTGGCAATGTGGTTGGCCTTGATGCTTCCGTCCTCCAAGCAATCTCTGATGAAGTGGT